TCTTTCCCTTTCCCTTTCCTGCTGTCTCCTTATAAAGTCTGATGAGTTTGCCCAATTAACTGCCAGATAAAAAAAGGAAAGTATGGATTCACAAACACAGTGCAGGAAAATGGAAGGGCTGATGTGTTCTCTATGCTGCTTACCTTGTTTTGCTCCCAGAGGCATGACAAGCATTTCCTAAACTACTTTAGCTCCTGGCTGGGTGCATTGAATTCAAACAATGCTGATGTTGCTACATCTTGATATGTCAGACTAAACTCTGGTGGTTTCTTCGCACATAGATAAGCCTTGTTTGCTTCAGCAGCATCTCAGGAGGAGGGCATCAAGGTGGTTAACCTGTCAAGCTTAGTCCACCTGGGATTCTCTGCTGCTGCCTTTGATGTTGGTCAAATTTCCAGATTTCTTTCTCTGTGGAAGCCCAGATACCTGGTTTCCAAGGATTTTTAAATCAGTAAAATTGTTAAGTAGTTGGGTAAAATGCTGCAAATTAAAATCAAAGCTCTTCATTCTTTAAGAATAGAGTGCAAAGACCTTTTCTTTCCTACTGAAAGGAAGAATTTAACATAAGAAGGGGGAGGGCAACAAATAACAAATCGATGTGATGGCTCTTGTGCTGTGGTTCATGACATTTCATGGAACCTTTGCAGCAGGCACTGAACAACCCTGTAGGAAAATAGTTCCTTCTCTGTACTTCTTTGCTTTACAGTACCTAGCATAAGTGGGATCTGATTTGTGGCAGAGAATCCTAAAAATGTTTGGAATATGAATTGCAGTAACAACAAAGCAGTGAGACTACCATGTTTTAAAGCATGAAACACAATGCAAATTACAGATTACTTTCCAGTGAAGTCTCTGCTGTACTTAGAGCACTTTTGTCCTACAGCATTGAAACATTGTCCTACTGCATTGACAGGACCAGAGGCAATGGGCACAAACTGAAACACAGGAGGTTCCCACTAAACATCAGGAAACACTTTTTTACTGTGAGGGTGGCTCAGCACTGGCACAGGTTGCTCAGGGAGGTTGGGGGTCTCCAACCTTAGGGATGTTCAAAAGCCATCTGGATGTGGTCCTGGGCAACTGGGTCAAGGTGGCCCTGCTTGAGCAGGGGTGTTGGACAAAACAACTTCCAAAGGTCCCTTCTAACCAGAATCATTCTGTGAAACCCAATGACAGCATTATCAAAGAACCTTTTTTTCTTTTCTTGTTTAATTGTAACAGGTATCACATACTGTCAAAGCAATGAGCAGGGTCTGCAGTGTGATGAAGAGGGCCAGTACAGACCTTCCCAGCAAGACCCCGACAGTAATAAATCCTTCTGTGTCGATAGCTTTGGAGCAGTACTGGACTGGACTGAAACAGATGATCTCCTTACAGACTACCAGTGCCTAGGTAAGTGTCAGAGGAATATTTTAGATATGTTTTGACCCCACATAAGTGAAAAGTCTTTCTGAAGAGACTCATCACAGCTTATGGGGATTCACTTTCCCATAGTTGTGGCCTCTGCCTTAAGCCACATCCCTCCTTAATTTTGTATTTTTTTACTACTTTGGAGAAGTCATTTCCTGTAAGGGAAGAGAGAAAAGCAGGTTTCTTGCGGTCTCAGATGGCTGACAGCTTTTGATGTATGTTGATCTACTGTCCTCTGCTTGGAAACCTGAAAGAATAATGAGAGGGCTAATGGGAAAGAAGCAGAATGATGAATTTCTTTATAAAATTATCACTCATCGGTGTGTTCATGTGAAATAGACTGTGTTTGGCAATGACCTCACAGCTGTGGCATAACGTCACCCTCTGGGCTCCAGCTGTATGGTATCTGACTTGGTGAACATATCCCTGCAAGCTGGGGGAACTTATTTCTGCTTGAACACAGTTGTGAAATGCCAGTTCTCAAGGATGAATAATTTGAAAAAAAAAGTCATCCATCAAACAGTCTTCAAACTGCCTGCAATAAGGTCTAATTATGCTTCTCAGCCCCAAAGCTTTTGCCTTGCCCAAAAATAGTTTTCCACAAGTTTTTATTATTCATCATATGATTGGTATCAAATTTAATGGAACATTCAGTTTAGAAACTGATGTCATGGTGTGCTCTGAATTAAGCAATGTCTTATGACAAGTGTGATCAGTGAAAGCCCTTGGTTGTGAAGAGGTTGCAAAACTATCTTCAGTTAAAATAGCTGTTTTTTTTCCACTGAGCATACTCAGAGACTCATTGAGTTATGAACACGAGGTGTTAGCCTCTGTTGCTCTCAGTCATGGGGTAACTGGGATGTTTCTCTGGGCAGAGACCTCACAGCAGCTTAATCCTCCTGTTATTGACTTACCTTGAGCCCTCCTGCAAAAGCTTTTCTGACACTGTCCAGGACGGAGCGGTTGTAGATATCTGTGTGTATTTTTGTGGATCATGCTAGAAGAGTTCACTACAAATAAATAGTTATAAGTGTTGACAATTTAGGGTTTAGAAAAACAACAAAAAGGAACACCCAAGAAGTCTGGCTGTTCTTTTGGGGGTTTTTTGGTGGTTTTTTGTTTTGTTTTGTTTTTTTGGTTTTGTTTGTTTGTTTTGTTGGTTTTTTGTTGGTTTTTTTTTTAAATAATTTAATTTCTTTTTTTTTCTTTTAAATATCAATCTGCATTTCCAGAAAGCATTATATAAAAGTAAAACTGATTATCTCTATTTTTACTTTTCCTCCTACCCCTTCTACTCCCCTTAACTGAATTCAGCATGCAGCAAGACAGCAGGGTCTGAAGACTGATCTTGCTTTGATAGGAGGCTTGTGATTGCAATAAATAATCCAAATATTCTTTGGTTTTTGAGTCTTCAGTGGGAGGAAGAATTTCCTTGTATGAATGCATAATAATAAGCTGTAACAATCCATGCTCGTTCTTATTGTTCTCTCTTGTTATATTTTCAGCCACGCTTAACATTTATTGCAGTAAAAGGGATGGGAGCTAGAGCTTTACTCTCTAGTAAGATGAGAATTTCTGCTATGCACTGAGCCTGTGAAACACTTTAGTAGTTGTATTTCTGTTGAGAAGAGGGCAATGTGAAAATGTAAACTAACAAGTTCATGAAAATGTGAGCTGGTACAATATTTTTCATTGTACTTTTTTCTTTGACAGAGTTGCTTTGTGAATGCAATTTTTTCCCTTTCTTTATATTAAAAAACCCCAAAATTCAAGAATTAAACCCCCAATTTTTCTATTAGTTTTGCAATGTTTTCAGTTTAATGTTTCATTACACTTTCTAGCTCTTCTATATTTTCTCCCATATTATTGCAGAGAAATGGAGGGGTGGGATGAAGCCAGAATTAGGGAAAAAAACCCAAACCAACAACCAAACAAAAAACACACACATAAGTAAAGAAAAATATTTTAAAATGTCATTTTTTATTTTCAATTTTGCATTAGAAATGAGGACAGCAAACAACACAAAAATGCTACTTTTTAGTTTTATGAAAATACCTGAATTCTGTTTTTAACCAGCCATCACTGCAAGTTGCAGATGTAGAAGGAATTCAGTTTAGTGCAGAATTAAATTAATACTTATATTTTGGTGTCCTGTATTTCTGGGAAGGAAAAAAACCTTCCACCTCTGTTTACACATTATTCATCCCTCTCCCCAGCCTAGCTGGAATGCAAGAATTTTTTTTAATTTTGTGTGTCTGTGTGTGTGTGTGTTAAGTGTTTGGCTAGCCATCATATTTTTTCTGAGCAGAAATGCTGGTTTTATCAAAAGCACCTGCTGACTCAGTCCTGACAACAGTGGACATTTGCTTCTGATTTGGTCCCTACTGTTTTGCTGTAAGAGTACAAATGACGATTTTAAGCACTTATCCCTGACTTTTATTTTGTGGTTTATCCAGACATTTCAGGGAGAGGGGCCTGGGACCCTCCTGCTCGACTCTGCCCGTGTGTGCAGGGGAGAGAAAAGCTGAACCTCCAGCTCTTCCAGGAGCTGAGGTCAGACCAGGGCTCCTGCTCCTTGGCGTTTGTAGGTCTAGGCCATGCATTGACTGCAATGAGCCAGAGTTTTCCGTTTGTTTGGGGCATGTAGAGGACAAGTCTGGTCAACACAGAGGTGATGCTAAGTCACCATGTTCTTCTCCTTAATATACTGTGCTCACTGAAAGATAGTATATCAACTGGGGGACACACTGTACAAAACCCCTTTGTAATACAGATAGTAGCAACCTGAGCAGCGTGGTGGTGGTGCCACCGTGTGTCCCTTCACTAGACTATAATCTTCTTCAGGGCGCACCCAGCGACAAACCTTCTGGAGCTTAATTTGGATTCCTCGTCCCATTGAGGGACCTTTGGGTTTAACATCTCTAGACCCCACAAGCTTTTCCCAGTCTGTGAACAGAGCTGGTCGTCACACTTCCTTGCACTCAGGTGAAGTGGGTCCAATTCAGAGGAAGTAGATTAAAAGTTTTGGTAAGTAACGTGACAGTCTGGAGTTAAATGTTGAATGAAGGAGTCAAAAAGGAGCCTGCGGGACATGCCTTGGATAGATCACTGAGCCTCAAGTCGGTGGAGATCAGTGGTGGTGTGCTCCTATGCACAAGAAATAGGTCTCCTAGATTTCCTTTTTAGCCAAGTTCTGTTGGAGCTGGCTCTTGTTTCAGTGGCTGTTTTGCAGAAAGTCGGTTCCCCCGTTGACTCAATAGTTGGTTCTGCGCCATGAACAAGTAATGGGAGATGGCCAGTCTGCTGTGGGAAGAGAAGTCTCACTTGAACATAAACTCTCAGCCCACTTCTGGCTAACTGTTTTTAAAAGATCTTGTGATACTTTTTTTGGTTTTTGCAGAATAGAAATTATATCCTCAGTCCAGCTGTCTCCTGCATTGTCTGTGGGGTGATGGTACATCATATAATGAGCAAACCTTACTCCCTACAGAACTCGTGAATTTTTATTTTCTAAAGGCTCTGTCTCTGTGCAGCATGGAAACTGATAATAGGACCTGATTGGTTTGTTTTTTGGTTGTTTTTTTTTTTTAGTGCTTAGAAAATTTGAGAGAGTTCCTGCCTCCAGACTGATTTATGGATCAGAAGCTCAAATTCTTCAGTCTCAGTCATTTGGGGGAGACCTGCGAAGTCCAGCTTTTCAGTGTATTTCAGGTGAGGAAAATTCTCAGAAAATCTGTGGAGACAACACAAACCATAATGGAAAAAAAGTAATCTTTTTATATGATGAGCTTATAGTTAAGTTCCTAGATGAACTATGTGCTTTGCAGTTCAGCACCAATTCACTGCAAGATATTTACAACTTTTGGTGACCTTGGTTCAGGGAAGAGATTGGTCTTTCTTTCAGAAAGAAGTCTTCTGACTTTGCATACCATTTCAAACAAGTCATGTGACTTTAAAGCCAGTTGGTATACTTTGCAATATGGATGAAACCTGAGATTCAGACCAGGAAAGATTCATCAGACTTTTCAGATGTGCAGACAGAAGAAGGATTAGGTGTTTAGGACATGTGAAAACCAAGCTTTCACGTCTTCCCAAATTACCTGATTGGCACATAAAAGAGGAATAATCATCCTTGCTTATGTCAGAAGGATATTATAAGGAGTGCAGAGATATTCCTCTGCTGACCCACACAGTGTATGTATGTACTCTATTACATCTGGATACATCATGTTTGCTGGTTTATACTGATTCAGTGTCATGTACAACCAAGGGGAATGACTGCACTGCTTTCAGGGTGCTTTGAATCAGTCTCACCTTCTGTCTCCTAACGCTCAGACTTGTGACGAGAGGCAGAGGGGTTACCTTCAAAATAAAACCACCCTGTTTGTAGGGCAGACATCATAGAAGTCTGACAGAGTCAGTGGCTTTGTGTGATACATAGTGTGGACTAGCTGGAGCAGTCATCTCTTGTGCTAAGAAGTGAATAGGTGGAGCCTTATATAGAATCATAAAATCTTTAAGGTTGGAAAAGACCTCTAAGATCATCAAGTCCAACCATCAAATATGTGTTACTAGAATGATTTTCCTGCACCAGGTCATCCCCTAGCTGTATGCTGTAAGGTTTCTTGTACCTTCCTCTGGAACCAGAGACCTTCAAAAGCAAGACGCTGAGCTGAGAGAACTGTGGGACTGAACTCAGGGAGGAAAAGATGCCCCTGTGACAAGCAATCTGATTTGGTGCACATGGCCTATATTTTCATTATAAGTTACATCCACTGTCAAATGGCAGCACTACTACAAAATATTACTGCTGGGGTGCTCACTGAAGGGTAAGGGTTAACCTTTCCTTTCTGCTTCCCTACAAAATCAGACAGCTTAGCTTACATTTCTGATGATGTTTTGATCTAAACTGGTTGATTTTATACTAAAGACATTTGGAAACAATTTCACCTCCTGTTCTAGGGGCAGAGCTGTGGGAGCAAGTTAGTGGTGTGTGTAAGGGCAGAAGGATTTTCAGCCACTCCCAAATCTGGAGGGGGATGGCTGCTTGCTCCCTTACGCTGGCCAGGTGATTACTGCAGAGGTGGCCGGCACAACTGAAGAATTTGATGTTTCCCTCCTTCCTATCACTCTGATATTTGTCACAACCTGTTTACTATGGGGTTACTGTATCAGGCAGATGTGATGTGCTGGCGAAGTGGTTCATGAGAGTCATCCCTGCCAGCCTCAGGCAAAATTATCCAGCAGACATTAAATAGTTGGGTGGGTGGTTAGAACTAATCCAGATGTTTGTATCATCAGGTGATGAATGTCCAAACAACTTTTTGCATTAATTTAAAAACCTAGCCCTCTCCTGAAATAGTTCAATACTAAAGTTCTTCTGGCTGATAAAATTTATGTGCTTGCAGTCTGATGGAGGTATGAAAAATGAGGTAAATGGCAGTGAACAGTGGAATTTGTAGTAGAAATTTTGCACACGAAATGTTAGGAAACCGAAGGTTTCTTTTCTGTTTTTCAGGCTGTGAGAGGGAAGACACATGTGGTTTTGCCACTGTAACTCCTGATGGTGCTGAAGTTCTGTGTGAATTATACAGCGCTGCTGAAGTCAACTTCAACTGCACCACCTCTGGATTGGTAAAAATGATGCTGTTTAAAAATATGTGCTTATCATCGTACTGTAGGTTCAATATAAAAGTAGAAGGTATTCACAGAATACAGCCTGTTACCTGACCCCTTGGACGTTGCTCTTCACTGAGGCAGTAATAAATTCCTGCAAGCTGGTAAAGAAACTACACCCAAATGTTCCCAAAAGTGACATCTGAATGCCTCAGTGTTTTACACAGAACTTTTGGTCTTAAAACATGATGAGCTCCCGCAGTCTGGAAATCAGGTTAATTTAAAAGAGGGGCTTCATCAGGGTAGTCCAAACTAGAAGTCTCCAGGTTGGTAATTAGATCACTTGAAACAGTCATCATTTCTCAGTCCCTTCCTCTGGTCCAGGGTTTGCATCATGTGCTCTTTAGCACTGTAACATCTTCCTATTCGCTGCTTTTAAACGCAGTAATGTGGCATTGCAGAGTCAAGATCTCAGTTTGATAGAATAAAAAATGTCCACACTGGGGCACGTGGAGCTGTGGTGGTTATAAACCGTGTGTGCTAATTCCTCCCCCTGAGTTTCTGAATAAGAAAAATGTGTTTTAGGAGAGGAAATCAGTTAGGTTGTATTTATTGTGCATGCCTGTTTTCTGTCTCAGGTGCAAGGTGTTTTGGGGAACCCCGCTGCCACCAGCATCGGTAGTCTCAGCTGCCTGCTTCATGTCAGGAATCCAGAGGGAGATGCGGTGATGGTTTATTTGAAGAGAGGTACCAGATGCAAATCACTCATTTAATGTTAGACTGCTGTGCCCAGGCTTGCAGTTACTTCTATATGGGATCATAACTAAATGTGGGGAACATCTTTGTTCATGAAGACACAGTACTTTTCAGAGCTTAACATTTAGTGATAGCCCAGAAACCTCAGCAAACCTTCTCTTCATGTCTCGTTCCCTAGAAATTAGGATTACAGCTTTTGTAAGCCATTTTGATGGCTTTCTCTAGCAGATGGTCCCTCAAAAACTCAAATTCTATCAAATGTATTATTCTATTCTCTTCTGTTGTACTATGATTTCTCTTTATTAAGCAGTTTGTTATTTGAATATATAAGCCATTATTAATGACCAGCTTGTACTTAATTTAACAGTTTACATTAATTGTGATTGTGAGTTGTCCTACTGATATACCAGCCAAGAAATAACATGCTCTCCAATGAATCTCAAAGTGATTCAAATGAACTAATATTTTTTTTTTTTTCCTAAATGTAATGGATACCACTGCATATCCCATCCAATGTGTGTCCAACTTTAAGGCTCATGCCAAATTTGAAACAAGACAACCAAATGCAGAATGCTGCAGGGTTTGAGTCAAAACTTTCTGTTGTTACTGATATCTTTTTACTTCTATCCAAACCTTTGAGTCACCATTTATTAATAAGAACAAAAATAAATAGCTAAGTCTCACCTGAAAAAATACAAGTCCCCTGAGCTTGTTGCAATCAACGTAATCTTGTTGACACCAGATCTACTCTAGATTTCTGTTGATATTGCTAATTATGAATCCTGTCCTCTTGCATATGTGTCTAGTCAGCAGAAGCCTTACTTGCAGATGTAGTTATGCTGGCCACATTACACAGTTTACTTTTAATGAGATAAGTTTGTTTCATTTATACCTGGGAGTTATTAATATAGTGCTTGAAAGTGGAATTTTACCAGCCTTACTGCCTACATCGATTTAGGAGCTCTTTGCTGGTACAGTGGACTGGTTTTCCTACCCTGGCAGTACATTCTAACCAACTGCCCAGGTATAACTGCACCAAACCGTTTGATGATCTTATCTTGCATTGGAAACTCAAAGTCCAGAAAGGGACTATTAAGGTTGGGTTTTTAACCGTAAAACTTTCAACCAGCTCCAACCTGCAGGCAATCCGAAAGCATCTCATCTCCTCTTTTGAACATTTCTTTCCTGTTCTGTCTGCCTAGGACAAGAATTTAACTCATCTGGACTCAAGACCTTTGAAAGGACAAGTTTTCAGAATACGCTTTCTGGCGTGTATCGCTCCGTGGTGCTCTCAGCAGCTAGCGCATCTCTGACTGATGCGCAGCTCTTCTGTCGGCAGACCTGCAGCAGGGACTCTTGCTGTGATGGCTTCATCTTGAGTCAGATTGCGCTTGATGGAGGTATTGTCTAACTGTAAAAAAAAAAATCAGCAGTAGAAAATGAACACTAACTGGGTAGAACTCATTTTTGGACACAATACACCTGCCTCTACATCATACCAGCATATCAACAGCTTGCCTCTCCATCACGGACATTTTGCAGTGTAGGCAGAATTTGAGTAATGCCCAAGACATGGCCTGGAGCAGTGGAGATAAAGACCTGAGGCGGCAAGCTGCTCTCGGAGACAAATAGGCATTTTGAAAGGATAATTCTTTTGACCTGCTTTAGACATCCGTATCTGGTGGGATAAATCATTCTAAACCAGCCCCTCTCCTTACGTAACGCAGCTCAGTTGCCAGAAGTTGGTGCCTTTCAGCTGATGGGGGAATTAAGATGATGGCTCCAGAGTGCTTGTAGTGCAAATGTAAATCATGTCCCTTTTTGGAGCAGGAAAAGAGGATGCTAAGCAGGGCATTATATTATATTATTGTGTGCAGGAATGCTATAATCTCCTAAGTTTGGGTGTCCAGCTAGGACAGTAGGTGGGAGTGGGATGGATGGAGTCTGGCAGAGGTGGGACTTAGGCAGAACCCAGATTTCTGCCAGCAAATTTAGGCACTTAATGTCAGTGCCTGCTTTTTGTAGTTTCTTTTTGAGCTCACGTGGGATCAACTTTCCTGTTGGAGGTCCATTTCCTATAGGAAATGTGAAGTTCTAATTGAAATGTCTCAAGTTTTTAAAGGCGGGCTTTTACAAGTTCAGACATGTGCTACTGGCTGCTATGTGGGAAGCACTTCTCTAGTTTTGAGTGGAAACTGATCCTGGATTTGAGAAAACTTTCTCTCTGGAACTTGTCAAGCAAATTTTTCCAGGAAATTATTTTAGGTTTTGGCATGTCTTTTTTTTTTTTTTTTTTTTTTTTGCATCAAAATATTCTAGGTAATCTTGTAAAGTCCATTTCTCTCTATATTTACCATCAAATTTTTGGGTTCCTTGTACTCGTGAGCATAGAAGGGGGTGTGGATGTGTTAGAGCTTTCTATTTAGTGGGAATGACCTATTTGGATCAATAATACTGATAAATGCATTACTTAGACTAGAATTATATTTTAAAAAAAAGTAACACATTCAATATCTTGTATAGCCAGTCCATAAAAATTATTAAAAAAAACAAACAGAGAGGGTATTGTAAGACCCTGAGCATTGTCTAGACATTATTGTAACAGACTGACACCAGAACACCTGTCCTTAAGTGTGCTGGTCCCCCGACTCACGCCGCAATGCTAGGGGAGACTCGGGCCTGGACTGACTGAAATGAGGCACCAATCCAGGAAACCATCCCCGTAAAAATATAAGTGCTTTCTTGGTTCAGAGCCTGAGATTGTAAGACTGCCAAAGGGTTGAATATGTCTCCGTGGTGTTATAAAGTGCTGAGAACACTGTTGGGTATTATCAGATAATAGTAGTATTTTATTAGGTGGTAATGGTACGTGCTTGAAATCTTTGAAAAGTAGGCTACAAATGTTTGGTTTAGGTATGAATAGCTAACTTTAGTACTCCAATTTGAACGTATGGCTCTGATTTTCTTTTCTTCTGTTTTCTTTTTTTTTGGGGGGGGGGTAGCAGTAATACAGGATATCTATGTCAGTGACGCAGATTCAGCTGGCATTTAGAGAAAAAGTACTGGGATGCTGGGGTGAAAAGCTCTGTGTAGGTGCACAGCATTATTGGAGTGATACAACTCTCTCTTTGCCTGAACCTAGGTACCATTTTGTGTAGTTTGATGAGCTACCCAGACGTGCTGATCTGCAATGCAAATAGCTGGAGTCCAGCACCAACATCTGTCATAGATGGGATATGTAAAGGTGTGAGCTATGATGAAAAAGAGAAGATGTTTTCCTTCACCATAGGAGGGAAAGTGTTCAGTGGAAGTATGTCAATGAATTATCTCAATTTACATTCCTTTTCTTTAAATCTCCTATAGACTCTGCCTTTTTCACCAGTCTGCTCTGGTACTTCAGTGCTTTTTTCTCAAGTAGATCCATATCTGTACAACCACAAGAGAATAAGAATTCTCTAATTGGATGCCTCGTTAGATAGATGGACCTCTCATGTTTTACTGTGTGAACATTAATGAAAGTCAAGGTTGTGTTGGGTTTAGTATGTTACCCTGTAATACTTCCAGTATTTAATTCAGGCAGATTCAAGCTGATAATCTGAAAGAAAGGTAAACTCTGGAGCAAGTGCAAAAAGATAGATTACCTGAGCTGCACAGAAAAAGCAATGATGGAAAACAGAGTAAACAGAGTACCTTGGACCCAGATAGCACCAGGACACCTGGGACTTTCTTCCTTAGGGTCTTGCATTGTAAATAAGCTGATGCATAGTCTAGTGATGTGCTTTTAATGCAATTTCTGAGCATTTCAATACTACATGTTTAATTTGAGGACCTATTCTAATAAACTTTTTTCTTTATTAGCTTCTAAGTTGGCAGAAGAGTCAGAAAGAAATTTTACTACCTTTCAGCAAGTCTATCTGTGGAGAGGTGAGTTATCTCTCAGAAGTTGTTACGAAAACTTATGATGAACGGTAGGACAGTGGCAGGTGTGTTTTCTTTGATGGAAGTATCGTTCTCACTTTATTTTATACTGTCCAAATTGAGACACTATTCGAAAGTCTTTTCTGGCAGGGATGGGTGTAATCCGGAGTAATTCTGCTACTGTCAATTTCATGAAATTTGGGTAAATTCTTGTGTCTGAGAATATACTTTATAACTTCTAATAGCTGTGAAAAATGGTATCATGGAGACACTTACCTTTGGCCCATCAGTGTCCAGGTACCATAATAATTTGGCATGTTATATGTAACTAGATTGGTTACTTTTATTGGAGTACTTTTATTAGCATTGCTGGTTTTGCAAGTTTACTTTCTGAATGTTGCAACCTACGTGCAGGACCTGCACAAATGATTTGTGACGCTGCTTTATAAACGCACACAGCCTCCAGAGCACCGATGCTGAGTGAGTAGTGATTGGGGATATGGCATTTGCTTTCATGCTCCAATCAGCGCATTTTGGTTTAGGTTTTTCCCAGAGTTATATGTACAGGGTTGTACTCATTTTTGATTTGTCAGTTGGTGGAACTACCTCAGGAGTTTTCCTAAATGGTGGACTTTAAGGATGATCTTGTCTTGTGGAAGAAAGATAAAGGGAATTACTATGCTCGTTAATTCCTGTTGTGTTCCAGGCTCCGATATGGTCACTAGAACTAAAACCTCTGCGTGCGATGCTACGGCTTTGAAGACAGAGAAAGATCTAACATTATCAGGTATTACAGTAAGGGCTGACAGAGAAGGCAGCAGAAGATAGCAGAGGGGGGTGCAGAGTTTAACCAGATAATATCATATATTGCCATGTATGTATCATAGTGATAGAGGTATCGTGAAGTCCAGAGGATTTATCTTAGATGGGAAGTCTGATACAGTTTTTGAGAAAGACATTCGAAATGTGAGCTGCCTGTCTTTATTGTTTTTACCTTCCCAGGCCAGGCTGGAAATGAAAGTGTTAAAATGTTCTGTGAAAGCTTGTTCTTTCAGGCTTACTGAACTGTAAAGACTCAGGAAATATTATTTGGCTGGGAAAAAAATTTGCATGAACTCAGGAATCAAAACCTTAGCCTGATGATGCTTGGAGGAACTCAGGATGAAACTGCAATCACAAGTGTTTCTTCCATGCATGACAAAAGTGAGAGACCTGTGAAGTTCTCTAGCTCCTTTATTATTCCAGGGTCTGCTCTTCATTATACTAAGTCATGTATATATCTAAAATAATTTGTAATAAGTTGCTAGAATTCCTTTGGGCCTTCACCACCATAATCCTAAGAGAAAGAGAGCAGTGCATCCTGTTAAGAGGACTTTGGCTCATGTCTAATGAACTGTAATCTTTGTTGAATGACCTGAATGAATACCTGAGCATGTGATTTAATACATGTAAAATCCTAACATGAAGTGAATTGCTGATTTTGCTTATGTAATTTGAAAGGAAGGTAAAACAAAATGCCCATTTCCCTAGTGGCGCTCCTATACAATTAATGATATTTTAAAGTCTAGACTGAAAAATGAGAAAAAACCTGCACTTAATACATTGGGTGTTTTCCTGCCAAGGCATGAGTGCAGCCCTCAGGGTTCTCCATTTACCTCGCTTTGTCTGATGATATCATTAAAACCTGAAGTTATGCAAGGAATGTGGTTTCTTCCTCCATCCCTTAGTCAGGACACAAACTGTTTCAAGAGCAACTGAAGGTTGAAGTTAAGTCTTGAGAGGTAACAAGACTTATGAATCACCTTTTCAAAAGAGTTATGGATACGTTTGGGAAAATGTCAAGTAATGAAAAGCTCTGTAGCTTTTATTACTTGATCATCATCCTTAAAGCACACGATAACATTATGTTGTCTATTTTCTGACAGAAAATTCAAAGCTATTGTGCACTCCCAGCCTGTCAGTAGCTGCTTCAGCATTTCAACTGCAATCATCAGCGTGTCTTTACTTTCCTATTTTCATTTTTATCTGGCTGTTTCAGAGCACATAAGATTAAACAACAGAATCTCTCACAATATTGGAGTAACTGGGGATGAGACCTGCTGATGGCATTTGATAAATAAAAAGGTGTTTATGAAGAAATTTGTAAGAGATCAGTGAAGAGTGTCCATTTCTTTCAATATTTTACTTGGACCCTTATTTAAAGGGATGAATTTGAAAACAACCTGAAATAGCTGTGATTGTTTCAGAGGGAGCTCAGGAGATATAAAGCGTTATGCACATGTCTAAAGATCACAGACAGGTGACAGATGGAAGTTATTTAATGTGGTCTGTGGGAGCATAAACTAGGATAAATAAGGTTAAATGACTGAAATAGGTATTAAGCTTTTTAAGAAAACTTTTAACATTGAGAGGTGTAAAATCTTCCCAAGGGGATATAAGGAAAATGCTGTATTTTGGATTAATAAAACTAAATTGATTAAGGTATTGTAAATATCCTCTGAGGCACTATACTTCATTGTTAGGCTGATGCGTTGCGTGACAGAGTACAGAGAACTTTCTTATTTTTAGGAGCTGTGATTTTCACCTAGTTTTTGGGTGGTGGAAATAATCTGACAGTGCTATATTGTGCAGTGCAGCTCAGTGAGGATGCGTTGTCCACACAAACATCAATAACTGTGGGTGGACAATTCCGTTGTTAAAAGCAGCCTTTAGTGTATGCTAGCCCTACAAAATGGTTGCAGCTGTTTTACTGTGAAAGGCAGAATTTTATTTATAAATAAATTTAATTTATTCCAGATCATAGTTAGGTTTTTTGGTGGGTTCGAGCAGTTTGTTTGTTTGTTTGTTTGAATCTCAGATTCCACAAAGGATCTTTTCTACCTAATGGACAGCAGCCGGATACGAAGTGACCAGAACTATTCTCTCCCTTACCAGCAGTACTGGGTCTTCAGGCAGAAGTACTCAGCAGAGGAAGCTGTGCTTTGGTGTCTCACACGTAAGACATCTTGGAGACTGTTATTCTGTGGGGAATAATAATTAATTAACATATTTTAACAGGTATTATAATCATGATGAGTAGAAACTCTGAACTTGATTTTTTTGGGGGGAAAACCCACAAAATTTTCATGGAAGTTGCTAATGGGGCCACCTGTTTCTTCCTTACAATCTTTGTCTACTCTGGCAGAAAGCGTACTCATCATTCACCATCAGGGTATCCCTCTTATGGGCAAGAGAAATAGAAGATACAGTTTAGGCAATAGTCCGCTGTTCTTGAAATGTACCCCTCCAAATAGATAAATGACATAATTATAAAAGAAGAAGGTAAAATTCAGACATTTGGGTTTAATGATAATGTATATTTTGATGTGATAAATGGAGAAGACTTTCTAGCTCTGACTACCAGGAAGGCAGAACTGAGAGCACTAAACAGTGCAGGAAGATCACTGTAAGAGGTTGGTTGACCTATGCCTGTTTAAAATTAAGCATTGACGTACATATTTACACAAGACATTGCTACATTAATTAAGAAATGGGTTTGACAGCTTTATTTCTTTTCTGAAGGTGCATTATTACCCCAGGGCAAATATCAGTGCAAATTGCTACAAGCAAATGGCTTGAACAGTTGATTCTAGCAAAGTTATTTATATTTTGAAAAAACTTCCTAAGACATTGTAGACTTTATTGTCCTTTTTATTCCTTAAAGTAAGAGACCCATGACTGATGCAGAGTTCTTTTATGATTATACAGTTTGTTTGTCAAATTTACCGAAAAGAAAGAGAGAGATCTTTATGAATCGCAGTGTTAGTGACGCCAATACACTAGGCTAATGCTTGTCACAGCTGGGGAATGTACTTTTCTTAGCTTCTTTTCTGCACTCTCCAGGTAAGCCTGCTCTTCAGTGTCACTAGAAACAGAATCTGTCCCTGTTCCTCATGCACCATAATAGAACAATATTGATATTGTCACTTTTAGTTGTTTGCTGATGGGTAGCTTTAAGTGTGTTGAAGATATGAAGAGGATTAGACAGGGGAAGAAACCCTTGTGTGGGTAACTCTTAGTAATGTTATTTCCTAGGTTGTGCAGAAGAAGATGAGTTTTGTCGAATGGCAGATTTTCAAAACACCACAGACGTATACTTTGTGTGCACCCTCTACCCAGAGGCACAGATTTGTGATGGCAGCATCGATCAAATACCGGAAAACTGTCAAACTGTGCTACCCCAGCAACCACAGACATTGTATCGTAAAATAGGCAAGTTTGGGGATTTGGATGTATAATGTGTGCTCTAACCCTGATAATGCAAACTAGTGTTTTGGCTCTTGATTCTGAGATTAAAAATCTGAATGTATGAATGAGTCCTGGGATGTGATGGGGCAAAAGAAAGTCAGGCTATTCTGGGTATGTTTTCATTTTCCATTCAGAATGGAAAGATATTAACCATGAGTTCCACTCTTTATCCCAGTTATTCCCAATTCGGAGATGCCAAGGGTAGCTCAAATAATTTGTATACCAGGTCTTAGATCCTTTTATAATGTGGGTAAAATGGGAATGTCACTAATCCCATTTTCAACCATTAAAATTTCCATTGTAGTTAAGCAATGCAAGAACTGAAAATTGTTGAGTGTAATATTTTGTTTTATTATTTAGTTTTTAGCAAATTTGGAGTTATAGACATGGGGATTTTAACCTCTGCTCTTTGAATGCTTGGGAAGTTCGATGATTTTCTCACAGAGCTCATGTGAGAAAGCTGAACAAACACGCCTGTTATCACTGTACAGGAACATATACTTTTGCTGTGAAAAATGTAGAACCGAACAAAACTATTAAATTGTGTCTTTTGGGGGAGCTCAAAGTGCAGCACAAGCTGACTAATGCATGAGTATGCTGGAGGCTTCCAATCTGGAGTTGTTGCCCAGTTTGTGGACCTTGAGGAAGGAGTAATATCAATACAGGTCTCAGAAGCCCTGGGTTAGAGGTCTTTCCTTGGTGATGTACTTTTTGATAAGTTTTTAGAACCTTCACTTGCTGGATTTTTGTTCATCTTCAGGCTTAACTGTCAAAAGTTTACTGTGATAATGTAAAAATTACCTTTGGATTGATCAAGACCATTGTAGCGTAGAAACATATACTTTATCCTTACCATGTGATTACTTGACCAGTATATATAAATTGCAATGTTAAGATGATTTTTCCAATTTTGTTTTTCTTTTTCCTTCCAGTCACTCTAAAAAGTTCTGTGAAGAGCTTCTACACACGTGTACCATTCCAGAAAGTAACTGGGATATCAGTAAGGAATAAGACTGACATGAGCAGAATAGCTGTTTCAGATGGGTAGGACATGTCTCTTCCTTTGTTTTTACTGGAATTTTAATCATACCTGGAATACCAAGGCCCTGTTACGCAGATGAAGGGGATCAGACGTATTGATCCAAGAAAAGCATTATTTGAGAATATTTAACAAAGAAAAAAAAAGCATATGAATTAAAGGAAATTTATAATTGAGTTATGAATAATAATATATATAATTAGTAATGATATATAAATTCTATTAAATTGCTGACTGCCCAGTTAAATCTCTTGACAATAATACACCAAATTAATATAAGCTGATATTTTTAGGGCAGACATCAAAATACAAGTCTAACTTCTTAGATGTAGTCTGGTAGATGTGTACTGATAGAACGTAATTTCATCTACAAATGGAAAATGTATGGAAGTGTCGATGCAGTATGAAGAACCATGAGATGGTCTTATCGTGAAAGGTTCTTGGTGTCTCCTCTATGCAGTATCCTCTCTTCCCTTCTCCATGGCAGAGGCAGATTACTACTGATAATAAAAGTAATGATATTTTTCCTTTCCCAGCTTTTTTGAGTGTGAGCGTTGGTGTGATGTTGACCCCTGTTGCACAGGATTTGGCTTTTTTAATGGCTCCCAGCAATCAGGTATTTTGTCACAATTTTTATTTGAAAAATAATTTCAATCTTCCTTTATTATTACAAATTTTACTGTTCTTTTGCTGTGAAGGGTACTTTAAAAGCCCTTGCAGATCTTACACAACTCTCTTTAGTGCCTTTTGAGTAATCATAAGCATTTCTAGAAGTTCAGTCCAATGACATGCTCCACATCTCAGAAATTATTAAAAAAACTTCATGAGAATGAGTCCCTAAGAGGCTGCAGTTCTAACAGTATGACATTCAAACTGATAAAACTCCAGGGAATTGTTACTTCTCATTTATCAGCCTCTTTTCCAAAATGTTGGTTGACCTCTTTTTGTGATTTTTTTTTTTTTTTTAAATTTTTGATTGCATGTTTCATTTTTTTAAAGCCTAAGGGACTTAGAAGCCTAAATGTTACTGAAATTAAATGCATGTTAAGCACATAATGTCCATGGATACTTTGGGGCAGCATAGCCTTTTCACTTTCTTTGATGTCTGAATTTCTCTGCTCCCAAACTTTAGTCTTTTACTTGAGGAAGATCGGTTGGGGATAGAGATTGCCTATCTTCTGCTCCTTAGTGGTTTAGCTACATAAGACATCTCGAGTAGCATTTCTGTTAGTCTAAGGAATTCAGATCTTTAAAAATATTCGTGACTTGAAAGATATTATAATGTCAAACAAACATATTTTACTCACCTGAGATGGCTAAGTTAAGGGGTGTTGTCAGCCTATGCTCCCTCTATAGTCAGCAGAGGGATGTATAGACGCAACTATAGGATAATTAAGAGCTTTGGTTAACTGGATCCTGTTCTGGATATAATTTTCTTTCTCTCCACTGGCTGTAAAGGAAACGCTCTGTTTAAAAGAAAGTCTTTAGCAGGTGTTTAAAATTGGATGCCATCCAGGTCAAAGTCAATAAAATAGTTTTTAATATTTTATTCCAAATTCAGATGTCAGCTACTAAAATGGCCAGCCTTGTTTTCAGAAGTGTCATGTGCTAATCAACTCTCCCTGAGGCTATTAGGATGTGCTGGTTTTACAATTCATTTGGGAATTTTGAACACTTCATAAATATATATTTTTTTTTCCCTTTTTTGTTGAGCAGACAAAATTTTCGCTCACTCAGAAATGAGTAGCTTGGAAAATTAATCCAATGTAGTTTAGATTGGAATTACTGGGCAAATCAAAAATAGTTGACAGTTTTCATACCTCCCTGTGACCATATGAAATTTAAAGTCTTAACTGAATATGACTTTAAGTTTCTTTAAATAGCTCTAAAATAAATTAAGGATTTTAAAGCATTGAACATGCAAAACTGACACCTCTTAGTTTATCTGATTAATATTTATTATCTGTGGCATTTCAGACATCCAGTCCTGGCATTCATACAGTCAAGAGAACTTTCAGTAGTGATTTTAACATGAGCTAGGATAAATCTTCAATGAAATTGCTAGCTGTGTTTCAAGCCCTCCATTTTGTTCACATACAGAAATATTTGCACTAGGTCTTTGAAAAGCAGAATTTTTATCTTGATGTAAGCAGGGGCCATGTTTCAACATACATGCAGATTTTTAATTTCCAGGATTGCATTAACCAGAAAGGGCTGCTTGCTCAAAGAAGAATACCTGATCAGTGGAAATACTCCTAGAGACCTTAGCGGGTTATAATGTTGGTTATCCACCTTCCCTCACATTGAATTCATTGCAATTTTTCAACGCTCTTTTCAACAACAGTAAGATTTGGCCCATTTTAAGTATTTCCCTCCTTTGATTTCTAAGTCAGTGGAATTCCTTTTAAATGTGGAACCGTGCTGTATTCATTTTCCTCAAAATACTGTCTAGAAGAGGAAAATTTTCCTCATCCTTTCTATAACCACGTATTTCCCTGGCAGGTGGAAAGATCATGTGCCTGACTCTGAACAGCCTAGGCATCCAGACGTGTGCTGAGGAAACACGAAGTGCTTGGCAGATTTCAAATTGTAGTGCACCAGGTGCTGAAGTCAGAATACACCCGTTCGGCTGGTACCAAAAGCCTGGTAAGTGGTGGCCAAGCACACGGCCTTTCCGACTGGTTTCTGCACATTGAAGTTTATTATTTAGCTTCAGTGTACAGAAGCTTCAACTTTCAGATGGAGAACACATTTGCAAGGATCACAAATAGACAAGGCAGACAAGTATGTGCAATTTAATCTCCATTTTAACAGAAAAGGAACAGAAATACCTTAAAGAGGTATTATTTAATTTCTTAGATTGTATGGGAGAACTGCGGCAATTTTAAATTCCGCAACAAAACCAAACCTTTTGAAGTTATGCATCCACATCAAGCCAAGAAGTGAGAAAAAAATAATGATGTCCTGACCAGGATTGTGCAGTGAGACAAAACATATCTGGACTCTGACTTTAAAATTCACTTTTGGCTGTGAAAGGGCCAAGACCAAATTCCAAGGCAGCACTGTATTCTTCAAGCAGTAAGAAGCCATCATGTGTTTAAACAGAAGAGAACTTATCAGAGGTTAGGTTATCTCCTCAAGAGGAATCAAAACCACTCCTAGTTAAAGTGAATTTTCTTTTCCATAGCAAAACAAAGGCTCCATTACTTTCTTGAAAAATTTCAATGGGTTTGTCATCTGTCACACTCCTTCTGGGTGGATCTAGTTCTACTTTGTTAAGATTTGATTTAACATAACTGAAACAATAAGGAAAACAAATTCCTGACTGACTGTATCCCCCTTCATGGGACAATAGCCTGTTATTAAGTCTACATGGGCAGAAACTTACTGAACTCCACTGAGAGCAGTGAGGTCCCATGGGAGCAGGTCTGGTGATGTTGACAGAATTGGGGAAAAAAAATGAATAAATTTCCTGCTTTTAAACTCCCTTAGTTCTTGCAGAGTAGAGAAGGACTGATATCTGAGTGGAGAGGGGAGGCATGAAGTGTGGGTATATGCTGTCCAGTGTATGTGATATGAAGATAATCCAGTTAAAATTGTGTAGAGCTAAATCAGATATCTTGGGAATACACTGTTGGTAAACTTAAAGAAAACCCTCATTCACACCGGAAGTGTCTGAAATATGAACTTGCTCCTGAGCTTTTCCCAGTCCTATGCTGTCACTCTGCCCACTAGACCACCCATTTCCTCCCTGATGGGGTAACCCTTGTTGAAGAGGAGACAGTATGGAGTTGAGGATTTCCTATGGACCCTCAGTGTGAGCTTGGGGAGGGATGAGCTGAGGGTCTAGCACCAAGAGGAAGGGAACAACAGGCCTGATAAAGCAGGCAATGGCAGGAGCACGTGGTCAGGGGGAACTGAGAAACAGCCAGAGGTAAGAATGGTAGAAAGGCGAAGTGAAGAAGAGACGGCAAGGCATAGATACACTTCCACTTCTTGGAATTGTTTTTCATCTAGTTGACAAAGGACCAAATAATAATAATAATAATAAAAGTATGTTGCTCACTTCATGGACAGAGGGATGATGAAGAGGAGCCTGGGGTGTATGCAAAGTGAGGAGTGTTAGGAGAGACAGTGACATTTCCTTATGTTGTTAGGAAGATTCAGATGTGTTTCCACCATAACACACAGCAAGGCACAGATGTTTATGCAAATGGAGATATTTGCAGACAAAAATTTGTATCAGTTGTGCTGGTGTGTTGAAGGTCTGGGAACCACGAAGAGGAACAAGAAAGCTCTGAGACTAAAAGGGAAAATGAGTAAAATCTGAAGGAGGAATTTATCGTAGGCAGTGGGACGTTAGCATGAAGCAGGGTCTTTGGTTTTAGTCCACAGTCTCCTGTTGTAGGAAGGTACTTTTGTCTCCACCTTTATTAGTATGTTAAATTGACGTATGAGCTCTTTGCCCATGCAGGTCTGCTCATTAGCAATTTGACTTCATATGTATAGTCATGGTTGCAGCTCAGTCAATGAGGAACATATAGCAGCACTTTCTTTAAAGAGAGCTCTGGATAGCCCCAATTCTTCACTCCTGTCAATGAAAATGGTAAAACTCCTGAGTTTTAAGAAATATCTGCTGGTTGCATGCATGGGCAGTACGAAGTGGAAGAAGCAAACGGAAAGTCTGATCTGTCTTCAGTTTCTGTAGGGATGGTGGTTTACTTTGTCTTAGTAGAGAATTTATAACTCATTTGATTAGCCAAAGTGTTTTATAAAATACGAATGCACAGGGGAAACTTCTTGTTTGTTATTTAAAATTACAAAATGTTTAAGGGAAACATTAGCAAATGAGAATTTTCATGTGTGGAAAATATGAATGATTATTTGAATTTTAATTTGAAAAGCTTCCTGCTGGAAACTGACTTGTTCCTAGTTCTCCTTTTGAGAAATTCCAGTTTGCTAATCAGGAAGCAGAGAAAATCTCATGTCTCTTGTGATGTAGGAAACCAAATATAGAGAAGGTCATGGAAAAAAACACAGAACTACTGAAATGAGTTGTTCATAAATAACTGCATTTTGAAAAGTGTTTGCAGGAATGGGGAATGTTTACGAATCTGGACATTTAGGGAAGTCTGGTTTCATGTACGAGCTCAAAAGGGTTAGATAGCAAAGCAGCCTTGCATCCTTACTTGTGGTGTTTATTGTGAGAAGATGCAACATTCAGATCACAGAAGTAACACTGGAAATATTAAGATTTTGATTAAATTTTAAACCTTTAAGAGTAATTGTTTTCAAATGTTTTGTGTTTTTTGCTTTTAGCTGACTTGAAGAACACCACACCTAATCTGTGTCCATCTGTTAGTTTACCCCTCAGGCCAGAGAAGGGTAAGTGTATGCACATATTAAGCCAAAAAAAGGACATATCCTCTATTTTGTATATATTACTCAAAGATCACACTGTAATGAAATAGTTGTGTTCTCCATGAGTTTATTCACTCATGTATTCTTTTTATTAATTGTGTATCATTTAAATGGAAAAAATATTGTCATCCAGAATACTAGCTTAATATCTCTCAAACTCACTGCCACAAGAGGTCACTGAGGCAAAATATTTGGCAGGACTGATGAAGAAATTTATCATTTATAAGTATTGATGTCACATCACTTTCCATGGATATAACTTCATATATTAGTGCAGCAGCCAATGAAGAAAAGCTCTGGCAAGGGTAGCCTCCTGGAAAGCTGTTATTGCATTGTTGTCCGCTCTTGTGGGCGTCTCTAGTGCCTTTCTTGTAGCATCTGGTGCTTGCCAGGATGGCAGGCGATGATAGATTGGACAAATCACCAGCAGTTTCTGTCAATAATGCTGAATGCAAGGGGTGACAATGAGTTTTCAAACAGATACAAACAATTGCAATAGAGAGGCAAAGTCAAGGTTAGCAAATCTAGTTGCCCCCAAAAACCAAGATGATGAAAGGGACAGTTCCTCCAGAAATTAATGCAGGGTTATACTGCTTTGTAATTGGTGGTACAGAAGAATGATAAACTGTACTGCCTTTAGTCCTTGTTTGTGGTTTCCTGCAAGGGTGGGAATATTATCTCAAAGGTTATTCAGAACGGGATCACAAGAAATGTAATGTTTGAGATGTGTGTTGGCTCCCACTTTTGAAGAGATGCTGTAAATTGCCATGACACCATCTTTTTTGTATTGGGAAGAAAAATTTATTTCAGTCTTGCAGTAAACTAATCTTATGGTACTCACGTGTTGTTTTAAAAGTGGGTGGATCCTCTTAGTAAATGAAACTCAACTGCTGTCTTTCAGGGTTTTGTGTTTATTGCCCCCTAAAAATATATGCAAATTGTCAACAGCTACAGGCTTCCCTGATGTGTCCTTTCCAGAAATACACAATATATCTGCTAAATGCTGCATGTAACGGAAAGGAAGCAGGTTGACTAGTCATTAGATAACTCGGTTTAACCCTCATTTTAGACTGAAATTGAGAAGTCTCATCCATTTCTGCCCTTGATTACCTGTTTGGTCTCAGCAAATTTGTTACTCTGTTTGTGTCTGTCTTGTCTTAAACCATATGCAACTGGGCTTGCAGGGGATGGTTAATATTCAATATTGACTTCAAAATTTATCACTGTTTCATCATCGTATCTATGACCACTAGTCATGATAACGTTCAGACAATTTACATTATTAGAGGAATTTGTGCTATTATAATGATTGTTTTAATGTAATAGAAAGAAAACACCTGTCTTTGTAGGTAAGCAGAAATAATTTTTATCCTGAAATGCTGAAAGAAGCTAGTAGGCTAATGTGTAGGTTGGGCAATTCAACTCTTTTTGCAAAGTGTTTTTCCAATGGCATGTAGAAAACTGCTTTTCTAAACCTTTCTTCCTCCCAGTGTGAAGCTTTGTTGTAATTTTCTCATTTTCCTTTTATATTTTTCTTGCTTCTTAAATCTAGGAAAATAGTGACTTAAACAGCACTTAAGGAATTTATGCCTTTCCATCTGTCATTTGCTTTCTGCTCTAAAGACTGCTCAGAACTTAGCCACAGCAAGTGAGGTACTCATCTTACCCTTAGTAACAACCTTGACCTATCACACCCATTTCCAGGTCATCTTTCCAAATGCAAAGCAACTAGGTATGTCTCTGGTTTGCAAAGGTCTGGTTAAACACCCAAGTGAGCAGAGCTTCCCACAAAGAGGCAGGATTCTGGATTGGAGTGGTTGCCCTCAGGACAGCAGTCAGGAGAAGTCAGTGAATTACAAAGAGCACAACTAGCCTGGGTGTCAAATTAGCACTAGTATCCTCTACTCTTTGGGTGCTGACACGTTGTGTGCAGCAACGCATTCAAAATGCAACTGGGCACCACCTGTCCTTCTTACGTTCTGCCTCATTTTGATAGTAAAAGTACCAGCCCGGTTATTTAGGTCAGATTGCTATCTCTGTCACATTGTCAGACGTTTTGGAAAATTTTAAAAAACATTGTTTCCAAACTCTTTATGATTATATATGTTATATTAATATATGCTACAGAAGATGAATGGTTTTAGAATTGGGCATCATAGAAAAGCTAGCAGTGACTGAATTTGCTACATTGTGGTATTGCTTGTGCAAGGGGAAAAAAACAGTACTGGGAGTCCTGCGTGGTAACCAGATGGTGAGTGTAAGAAAATGTCACTCTTTAAAGGGCACTGTCGCGTATGTGTATATATATGTGTGTGTGCACGTAAGCATATATATATATAAAATATATATAAAACTTTCCATAGAAAGATCAGACACATACTTAAATTTGAATACTTTGCCAGAAGGCTTTGCGAAATAAGTTAATGTTGTGTCCAATACAGAGTCTGAGTTTACTGAGGCACAATTAAGTCCTATATTGTGACAGACAGTTAATGCATTTGACTGCCTCGTTCTCTAGTTAGCCAAGCTTCAATTCTCAGGACAGAGTGCCCAGCACTTTGCTCCCTCCTATTTGCAGCCCAGATACAGAGCACTCCTCCATTCTAGTCTGTGGTGTTTCCAGCCCCGAAACCTTGTAAAGAAACCCAGATTAGCAGACTTATTTTCACTCTTGTGGGAAGTAGATGCTTTGCTTCTTTTACTCATCTTTGTTCTTGATAGAGAGAGTAAAGGATTGTAGGACCATTGAACAATCGAAAAAAACCTCAGCAAAAGAAGGGTTTCTACAAGTACATGGGCAGCAAAAGAAAAAGTAGAGAAGATGTGGATCTGCTGCTGAATGGGGCAGGAGACCTGACAGCAATGGATATGGAAAAGGCTGAGGTACTTAGTGCTTTCGTTGCCTCAGTCTTTACTGATAAGCCCAGCCGTCAGGCCCTTGAGACCAGGGGGAAAGACTGCAGCAGGGAAGACTTACCCTCAGTGGAGGAGGATCAGGCTAGGGAACAAGCTAGACATACAAGCTCATGGGGGCTGATGCAATGCACCCACAAGTGTGGAGGGAACTGGTTGATGTCATTGTAAGGCCACTCTCAACTACCTTTGAAAGACCCTGGTAATGGGAGAAGTTCTTGAGGCTGGGAGGAAAGCAAATGTCCTCTCTGCCTTCAAGAAGGGCAAGAAAGAACTATAGGCTTCTAAGCCTCACCTTGGTCCCTGGGAAGGTAATAGAGCAACTGATCCTGGAAGTCATTTCCAGACATGTTACGAAGAAGGTGGTTGCAAGTAGTCAGCATGGATTTATGAAGGAGAAAATCATACCTGATCAACCAGGTAGTCTTCTACAACTAAGTGGCTGTCTAAGTGGATGAGTGAAGAGCAGTGGATGTTGTTTATCTTGACTTCAGAAAGGCTGTTGACGCTGTCTCACATAACATCCTCATAGGAACTGATGAAGTAAGGTCTAGATAAATCAACAGTGAGGTGGACTAAATGCTGGCCAAACTGCGGGGCACAGAGTTGTAGTCCAGCTGGAGGGCAGTCACTGCTGTACCCAGAGTGTTGATTTTGAGCTCATACTGTTTAATGTCTTGAATAATGACCTGGACAATGGCACAGAGTGCACTTGCAGTGAGTTTGCAAATGATAACAGGTTGGGAGGAGTGGCTGACGGACCAGATGAGTGTGCTGCCATTCAGAGAGATCTCAACAGCCTGGAGAAATGGGCAGACTTACATCTTGGATCAAGCTGTCTTCCATCAAGTTGTTTTTTAGCTTTGTCTGAAAACTGGCTAGGACCTTCATGTAGCAATTGTGTGGAGAAGCTGTTTTAACATTTAGCCTCTGAGAAAATGGGTCTTCTCTCTCCTGTTCACAGAAGGCTAAATGTTAAAACAGCTTCTCCATAGCTAGAATGTCTGTCTTTGGACTGTCACCAGATCTTAATGTGTCTCATTTTCTGTTATTAAAACTCAGAATCTCACTGTTGTTTTTTTTTTTTATTTTGTTTTGCTGGGTTTTTTTAAATCTTGCATATACAATCTTTAATTGCCCAAAGTCAGCAAAGGACAGCTAAAATGATTTAATTTATCTTGGTATCTGCCTGAAGGCAGAAATCCTTGAGCCAAGGAGCTGCAAGGTACTGTCCAGCCCTGTTAATCCCACCATACGCAAAGGGGAGTTCTGTTGCAGTCACTACAGGTTTAAAAGATGAAAAGTTGAGACCAAATCCTTTGGTCTCACCCAAATAATTTACTGGAGTTTCCTTCACTGAAACTCTCCCTAAATAAATTGAGCAAAAACATGTATTTGTTTTCCTTCTGTTCCCCGATCTGAGCTTTTGAAGATGTTAATGAGCAGTAATCTTCATAAAACCTCTAGGCCTTTGAATCTGCAATGGCAAAAATAATTTTCAATAGTGGCTTCTTTTCATGCCCCATCATAAAGCAGCCTGCAGCCACCAGGAAGGTGCAAAAAAATCCCTCTCCAATGTGAGGCTAACCTCAGGAGAGACGCAGCAAGAGGGAAGGCTTCAGGTTCTTCCTGTTCTTTGCCTTGTACCAGATTATTCATCCAGCAGCCCGTTGTAGCCCTGTGATTCCTCTCAACAGCCTGAGGCTCCTGTTTGAGTTCCCCAGGTTACTCTCCCTACTGCCAGCACTGCTAGGCATTTCCAACCTCATTAGTTACCCCAGTAGCCTGCAAAAAAGGGGACTTAAGTGCTCCATAATGCCTGTAGGTCACTGCTGTCTGGCAGGAGGGAGGTGAGCTGCACACTGTCTTTTACCTGAATTCTTGTTTTGTTGTTGCTTCGACGTCTTTTGCCTATTTGTATTCTTGCAATACCCTTTCTGATATAAGGTTAAACTCTCCAAGTCATCTTCGTCACTAATCTGTAGTGTGTTTAACTGAATGTATGGTTTTCATCTTTAAATGAATGCTTTTATTTGTACTTTCATCACATG